GGATGCCTTTAGCTACCAGCCCCACACGCATGACTCCACGCAAAGAACGTGAGGGCTGCTCCATTGACTTTGGTTCACTGGAGAACATAATATGAGGGGCAGTTACATGAGAGATACTAACCCACTTCAATAACTAATCATGCAGTCTATTAAAATTGCATAGTGATCAGAGAAGACAATTCAAAAGTCTCACGTCTCTTTCTCGCCATCTTCATCAGACTCCAAGGCATTCACTTTGGCATTTCCTTTCTCCTGCTCGTCCAACCAATCAGAGACAGCCTTGAGGGCACGTTCGGTGTGGGCCACCATGTTCTGCACCCCCTCCAGCTCCTCCTGGGTGGGATAGATGGCAGAGTGTTTGGCCATCACATGGCGATCGTCGTTCACAAAGATGCGCATGGAGCGATGACGCATAGGAGGCGGCTTCACGGAACCAAAGAGAGAAAAACATTAATATACATGACAAAAGGTTGTGAAGGTTAAACCAAAAGGTTGTGCACATACACTACTGTCCAAAAGCCTGGGTTCAGTAAGTTTTTTGTTCTAGTTCAGGTTTTTGTTTTAAGTAATTAATACCTCTATTAAACAATGCATTAAACTGATCAAAAGTGGTAAATACATTCATAATGTCACAATATGTTTCCATTCCAAATAAACACTGTTCTGTTGACTCCTGAAAAAACATGCAAAAGTGGAGAAAAAGTAACTGCCTTTAACATTGATAATATAATAAATGTTTCTTGAGCATCAAATCAGAATATTAGAATGATCTCTGAAGCATCGTGTGACACTGAAGACTGGAGTAATGATGCTGAAAATGCAGCTTTGGTGAGCATAACAGACTTTTCAAAAACACCTAATGTCATACTGATCACGTTTTTGAACACTTGTGTATTAGCAAAATTCAGCCTTTTCTCTTTATATTAATAAACAAGCTTAAGGTAAACAAAAACATTTAATTTTCCTATATGTTTGCAAAAAAGCTGGAAATAATTTTCCAAATCAAGGTAGCTGCTCTGTGTAATTACTGGCATATTAGTATAATTAATTAGTACTATATGGTGCATATTAGGGATGCTCCGATCCGCCTTTTTCGCCTCCGATACCGATTCCGATACCTAGGGTTCGGTATTGGCCGATACCGATTCCGATCCGATACCAGTTAAGCTTTTTTCCCTCATTTAAATAAATGTAAAATTTATATATCTCTGTGTGTGGAACTGATAATCATTCTTTCACAATCTACTAGATGCAGACTACTTCATTATAAAGAAAAATGTAATAAACAATAAATATGAAAAAATATAGGCCTATGTATATTTAAAATCTATGACAAAAATTTATCATAAACTAGGTTAGTGGATAATTCGGCAGCAAAAGTTATTCTAGAATAATCAGTGCACAATAATTTTAGAAATCCAAACATTTAGTGAAAAAACATTTTGTGGGGAACAAATAAAAGTGTTGCACTAAATATGGTAAAATGCTACACATTGCTATCTGTATTATTATAAAATCCATTAATTAAAAACATTCATGAATGTATTTATATTTAAGCATATACTATAAAATTCAAATACATTTATTTTAAATGTATAGCATATTTTTTAATAAGGCAACAACATATGATACGATAGGACAAAGGATCGGCGCATCCCTAGTGCATATTAGCACTAGTCAGTAGATTTAGTGCACTTTGGTATTACCATTTTTTCTAGGAATAAATCTGACTGCAAAAGCATTAAAGTATGTATACTTTACCATAATGGCTACAAAGTGGTTCTTCAGTTTGGCAGCGTTGGTCTATATGTGGCAGATGAATGCTGCTCCAGTTGGTCTGTAATGAAAAGCAATCAGTTTCCTGTATAATAATCAGTCGAAACCTATAATGCAGCAAAAACAAATCTTTCAAAGTCGTTTTAAAGATGGTGTCAATCAAAATGTAGTACAATGTATAGTTACAGCTTTATTTATTCAGTGTTAATACTAGTTCCATGATACAATAACACCAGTGTCACGGTGTTTAACATTAAGGCTAAAAAAAGGATTTGAAGTAAAATCCCAGTTAGAGCAATTCTGATTCTGCTTCAGATTCCACACAAATCAAGGCCTAATCCATATAACCTTTCTGCACCCTGGGAATTCACAGATCACAAGAGCATCACATATTTAGATCTCCACGGAAATTTGTATTACATCAGGTTTTTACATTTTTTATATGCCACAGGTCCTTTAGTGTTAAAAACTAGCAATGTATTTCCGTATATAAAGAGCGGATTTTACTGTTAAAAATGAACGTGCAAAATATTTAGTTTAGATCGTTACATTATATAACGTTCTTCTATGCATTAGTACACTATACCATTTGTACATGAATCATTTTTATTATTTATTTTAATTATCTTTTATATTAAGATTAACACTTTTTTTTTTTACCCCCAGCACCCCCTGGGGGACTCCAGACCGCAGTATGAAAATATCTGTATTAAATAGGGGCTGATTGAGATTGATCACGTTGGGATGATTGATCGGCGGTCTCTAATGGCGCTTTTCCACTGCATGGTACGGCACGGTACGGTTCACTTTTGGGGGGTTTTCCACTGGGTACAGTACCTGGTACTTTTTTTAGTACCACTTCGGTTGGGGTTCCAAGTGAACCGTACCGTTATCTGTTACACCAAATACACTTGATAATCTTTAATGATCAAATCTTTAATGATTTAATCTTTTAACTTAATGATCTTTAAAATAGCATCATATGACCCCTTTAAAGGAAAAGAGCACTTTTAGATAAACAAGGCAATAATAGATGGAGGTAGTATGCAGGAGGTAGTAAAACAAAGTTATTTATGAACTGCAGGATTGCTTGTAATAAAGATTTAAATGCAAAAGGAAAGGCAGTAGAGCTGACATGTTT